TGAAGGCAGCACTCCAAGCTGCGGGTTGTAGTTGTGAACTACAGGGTTATTTGTGGTAAAGCCATTTAGAGAGACTTACATTCTGGGAGAGACATGAGTTCTCTATTGAGATTATTGAAATAAATGATATTTTTATCGTAGGAATTTTAAATGCATTAGCTACATGCATTAGCTACATTAGCTATACAGTAGCTAATAGTGGTGTTCTTTTTTTACTATTATAATTAGTGTTTAAAATGAAGAAAAACAAAACAAGAAAGAAAGCATATAAAATGGCCACACTTTACCTAAATCTAACACTGTGTGTGTGTGTGTGTGTGTGTGTTCACAGAATTAGGAGGATCAACAACTCAGTGTGTTTTGTCACCAGCCCCAGCCAGTTGTGCTGAGGCACAGTGTTTTGCCTCTCTAATGACTGTGGTTAAATTGGTTACATCCTGGGCCCAGGATGCTTTCTCTGAGGCTCGCTGTGTGGATTTAATGTGCAGACGGATGATGTATTGGAATCATCATATCAAGGAATCATTCATATCAGCCTGTGCTGCCTGGCTCCACGCTGCCTACTCACTGAGGGTGGCGGTGGGGTTTTGAGAGGTGGGTTTGGACTTGGTTTGTATTTTCCTTAGGGAATCGCGTGTTTCAGCAGTATGGATATTGCATGCTGTAGCAGAAGGAATAAACAGACTGTCCATGCCTCCCTTACCCCACCTATCTTCAGGGACGGTTCTGTTCACGAATGCAGTTCTGTGACTGATGTTTTCCTGTGTTATGCGTCTATTTATTTGTTTGCCAAACAAATGCATTATTAACGGACCACATGTGGTCCTCTCGGTTTATCCTCCACTTACATCGGTGTCTTCCCCTTCAAGTGCAAATGAACTTGGTCTTCACAGCCTTAACTGGAAAGCCAACGCCTGAGGTGATGTTTGACTTAAAGGGTATTTGTCCTGGCCACATATTCTGTGTTCTGCCTCATAATAAAACCTGCCTTATAATAAAACCAAGTTCTTACAAAACCCTTTGTTTGAACATACTCAGAATTTAGGTCAGAATTTTGAACGGACGATGGCACAGGTTGTCTTTTGTCTCATATCCCCACACTTCAGCAACTCTCTGGGACTATTATAATGAGCCATTAAATTAGCATGAGTCATTCATGATAAAACCCAGAAAGAATATGTTTGTTAAATGGCACAAAGATATGTGGACCATTAAAAGTGACAATAAATCCTGTCGTTTACCAGGAGTATCCTTTTAAATAACAACCACATTGGACATTCGACTGAACGCGCCCCTAAGTCTCATTTCACACCCAAAAAGAAGTGCCTGTAGGTTTGCCTGAGAACAACTTGAATAAAAATAATGCCGTGAAAGGCTTATTCACACTCAGAATCACACTTAAGGCAATTTCAGTCATAACAGGGACTGGGGCTGGGAGAAAATGAGTCTATAGCAAAAGACACCTTTTTCAGATTTTTTCCCCCCTCTCTCATGCATACCAATGTATTTAGCTCATCTGCAATGGAAAGGGAAGGTTGGAAATCTTGCCATAGTCTCTTTTCTTCATCAGGGGGTGACTTGCAATGCACAATGCAGGTCCTCAAATTGATTTACAATAACATAAAAAAGCATAGAATTTCAACAAAAATCCGAGACTAAATTCTGCATCAAATGTGACTACATTATACAAAGTAAGTCACGATACCAAACCCGAGCATCAGGTTAAGAGAAGTGGTTTAATCTTTCATTAATGCTACAAGAACGCAAATAAATAAATAAAATAAAATAGCATGATCACGTTTGATAAGTAAAATTGGTTTTACTACCAAGTGGGTCCGGTGTCCATGTCTTACTGAGTCAAAGAATGCCCACAGTGTCAACATCTTCCTCATGTGTTGCTGCTTTACACCTAATAAATATGGTTAAAGTTGAAAATGCTGCTTCAGCTATTTTTTAATACATATATAATTCTTATGTAAAAAAAACATAACTGATCATTGATAAGCCTATAATTTTCCTAATAAGAGGCTAGCTGCTAAATTAACAGTGCCTGTAATGGCACAATATGCTGTGTCATATTAGGGATGGGTAAATAAAAACAACCCAAATCATTTCTTTGCACATTGGTTTCTGCCACAAGCAATATTATGAATGAGTCACTCTTCTGAATTACATTTCTGTCTCTTACTAAACCTAAGGATAAAAACCAAATGAAGGAGACATTTGTAGGTGAAAAGATCGAGGAGTGTGGCATTAAAGACATTTGTAGGTGAAAAGATCGAGGAATGTGGCATTCATCTTTTTTTCTTTCTTTTTTTTTGCACAAATTACAAAGTCGAGTTTCTTGTTAATTTGTCAAAAGAAATTAAGAGTTGATGGCATCAGATGTTAACATAAACGTACAAAACAACCTGTTGAAAATGATGACAAACGTTATCTTACTTGGAATCACTGTCAAAGGTTTCTTCATGACAGGTCTTATTCTCACTGGGTGATAGTGTTTTGCTAAGAGGAATCTTTAATTTCAATACTGAATAAGCTTGCATGTGTGTGAGTGTGTGTGGTGTACATGGCGTAAGTGTAAAGTGTACACTGCACATCAAGGTCTGCGAGTGGGTTCACACGCTTAAACGACATCATTAATAAAAATAAATTGTTCTGTTTGAGAGCCATGAGCCACAGATGACATTCGCCTGATGAGTCTCTTACATATTTTAGATACCATCGCAAACACAACTGCTGCAGCTCCTCACTGCTCAGCACCCGCAGATAGAGATCCTGAAGTGCTGCGTCTGAGAATGATACAAATGAACGTACTGATCCCTGAAGAAAGTGTATCATAGACTAAGGCTAATTTGAAAGCGAAGTAATGGGCTGGCAGCAACAATTAGGTCACATAAGTTCAAGACAAGAAGGGAAAGAAAATCCTCTGGTTGAATTAAATTTGCCTCATTTTACCGTCTGTGCAGGACTAATTTTACACTTGCATTCTGTGATTTTTTTGTGGGTAATTATGTTCTTACATAATAGTACAATTAGAATGAACAGAAACTGTGTCATAACACATTTGTTTTGGGTTTTAAAAACATCTCCCAAGAATACAATTTTATTAGTTTAAACCACAGAAAGGCTACAATCACACATCTTAGATTTGTATGTTTTAAAACTGTTCTGTAATTTTGACATTTACTCTATGGACTTCATACTGTTGTCTTTTTAACCGTTTATTTAAAAAAAAAACTGTCTTTTCATTTCACTGTGGCCTTTAGCAGTGTTGTATATGCCAGTTTAGTAAACAATCCAATTCACTCTAATTTGCTGGCAGATACTTCTGCTTTTCATTGTTGTTGTTGGCATCAGCCTGCCATCACTGCGACTTTGTTCTCAGCTGTTGTGTGTTACCCACAGTACATTTTACACAAACATGCAGGAAGCAGATATCTGCCCGGACACAGGCAAATACAGGCACGTTTCCAGATGCTCACATGAATGACACGGGGAAAATTCAAATATTGGTAATGCCTAGCAGCTGTTGGGTTGCAGGGATTGTTGCGTTAGAAAACACACCGTATTTGTTGCTAACATAGTAAGAAGGTAGAGCGTGTCATTCTGAAGTATTTCCGTCAGTACAGGGGATTTAGATGCTCAGCGTGCTGAGAGTTTTTGCTAGTGTCATGCTGGCTCGTTAATAAAGGAGACAATTATGTGGGAAAACATTTTTGTTTTGAGGAATATCAATTTAAAGAGTGAATTCTAACAGATGGTTATCAGCCACTGCATTTATGCAAAACCTGGGTGTTTGTGTTTGTTTATGTGGAAAGGCATTTACAAAGATGATTTCACACGTTTTACACACTATCTCACAATGCTCTCCTGTAACTCGTATTTCTAGAAGCTTAAAATTTAAAAATGTTTTCAATTGTTTGCTTTTGTTTTTTTAGAAACATTTTGATTTGACCTGTTTCATTTTTGAATCACCTGCTTTTCAAACAAAAGCCAATGCAGCATTCATATTTTTCAAATGTGTGTTTTTCAAACTACAAAGTTTGTATTTCAGCACCAAACAAGAGTCTGAAACAATTCAAATGCAAATGAATTCAAAGAATCTATCTGACTACCCTCTGTCTTGTTTCACTGGGGTGTATAAATCCCATAACTGTTCAGAAGTCACTTGTTTCTTTTGAAAACTAAGCTGCAGGTTTGATTTTTGCTTTACACACAAGGGGAATAAAAAAAAGGGGAGATTAAACACACCTCATCACTACTACAGAAAAAAAAATGAAGTTCAAAGTTGTAAACGTTTCTAACAATGGAGAGTGTTTGTGTTTAATTCGTCAGTACTGTATGCAGCCCATATACTGTAAACTACTTTGCTTATCTCGACGGCTTATTACAAAAAAGATCAAATATTTTGTATTATATGTTTGCTTAATTTTTATTTAAATCGCACGAATTATAATTAACGCTATTGCGTAAGGCAAATGGGGCATAATACAGTATCTGTGTGGGTGTGCGTGTGAGTGAGAGATGGGGGAGGGAGAGAGACAGAGAGAGGGGAAAAAGGGCGAGACCCCCCCCCCCCTCCTCCATGTATCAAATTATCTTAAACACGCATGGTTATCCCTAAAGTACGTGTTCGTATTAAAAGGAATTCCGAATAAAAACCCGCTTTCTCTGTCATCGCTGTACGTCTGGCCGCTGTGACGTACAGCCCGCCGTGCTGTAACTTGATGCTCAGTATTTCCCTTCCACCAAGTTCATACCACTTCCACACTCGGGGAAAATCAAGAGGGACATTTAAAAGACAATATCAAAGTCGATCACTTGACACTTGAATATCCGTCCCCGATATTCCTCGGTCCCTAAAGTGTCCTCCCCGTTACGCTGCGTGCTGTATTTCAGAACCTCGGACAGCGACAGACGCAGCAGTTAGAGGCCTTTCAGCTTCTCCTCACTCTCTCTGCCGTCTGGATAAAAAGGTGACAAATGCGCTCAGCCTATACAATACAATACCTTTTATTAAGCGGGACATGTAGGGATTCTTCTATTATTTCCACAATGTACATTTGGTGAGCAACGGTCACTGAACAATAAATCAGTCAAAGCTACGCAGATTCCGAAATGTAGAACACACAATAATGTGAATATGTACTTTATAAATTATGTCATATCTTCTTTTTTTAAATAAAAGTGCTCTAAGTCGTGTCCTGTTGCTGAAATACGTCGCCGTTATCTCTTTATAAACTCATCAGTGGCCTACATTTGGCTTGTTTTCAATATGTTCAGCATCCAAACGTAACACCATTGACAGCACAAAACATAAGGGGGAAAAATCCTTCGTGCAAAAAAATACTCTGGATGTGAAAGCACTTCTTCTCTGGGTGTCCATAATTCCAGACTTCATTTGGACGGAGAGCATATTCTTTAAGGCTACACAAACATAAAATACAGCATAACACACTCTGTCTGTCCAGGACATCGGTTCTTCCAGCCTTTACTTCTCCATTGTCCATTTAGTCCACACCCGGTCGTTGGTTGGTTGGATTGTTGGTTGGTTTGTTTGGCAAAGTTTGTTTTCCAAGCGATAAAAAAAATCCACATACTCGACCAGCAAGAACCACTGGTCGGTCAACACCTCTAACGATCCAGACTGCGGTAGAACTGACTGATGGATTCGAATATTTGAAACTCCAAGGAAACGTTCATGTTTGAATAGATAGTGGACGAGTGTAGATATAGATATTCGTCGGCTTCCTTGGCTGACAGTTATTTAAGTTGAAATTTAATGGGTTTTGTTTATTTCTCTCTCTTTTTTTTTCTTTTTTACGTTTTTTCTGTTCCTCAACCCTAAGCAGAGTCCCGGGCGACTTGAATCAGCGCAGATTAAATTATAGAGGAAAGACTAGAAAGCCTGAGAAGGTGGAGTACTTCCATCCACCCATTAGTGTGCCCCGCTCCAACTTCAGATAGACGCGGTCGTCCCGCTCCACCATCAGCAGTACTCCGTTACTGGCCGCCTCTCTTGTAACGTCCTGATCACCGGCGAATGCAGATATGACTGGGTAATCATTTTGCATCAGGTTGACCTGCAGGGAATTGGAAACACAGGCTTGTTGCTGAAGCATATACAAAAAAACAAAAAACAAAAAACAAAAAAAAAAAAGGTCCAGTTGGGCGGCGGCTCACCTGTATGGTTTGCCTGTTGTACACCTTCACCACGTGAAAGCTGAAACTATATATCCCCCTCCTTGGAGCTTGGAAAACACTTGCTTTGAGATCGAAATGATTGCCGATGTTCACTAATACCTGTGACCAAAAAGGGGCGAGGAATGAGAAGGCGCAGTTATTTCTCCTGTTCATCCTTCACTGCTTACTGTCGTCTGTTGTCTCTGTGTGAGATTCACTCGGGCTGGAGATGAGGGAATTAGACATGTCCAAGTTCTGGCTTGTCAGGTTTTTGTTTTTATTTTATAGTATAATTCAAAAACACACTGGGCCCGTGGTTGAAGCTCTCAGCCGTGAAGAGGTTTAAGGTAAGAGTCAGACAATAAACCAAGGCCCATTGAATTTCACGGACAAATCGCCGCATTCCTCGTGTCATTCTCTAAATCACACACTAAAGTTAAACCATTGGAACAAAACACAACTCTGTTCTTTAAGGGCAGGGAAGCTCAAATGTAACAGGATGTAAACCACCGGGGAAACAAATCAATGAAACATGACCTTAAACTACTTGTGTACGCCCACCGCAAGTAAATGGGACGTGTGGTGAATATAATTAATTCTGTGAAAGCAATTAGAAAGGAATCTAAGAGTTTCAATCACTTTTAATCAGAGAACATCTGACCTGGTCAAAGTAGATGGTCATGGACGTGTTGCTCATCTCTGACGGTTCATGATTGGTTCCACGCACGGCGGAAAATGCCACCTTTGCCCCGGCGGAGCGGACAGATATGCCAAGTGAGGAGGTGACCGCTCCGTCCGAAGAGGGGTTCGAGTCGCACACCACAAGACACTTTCCCTCGAGCACGATGGGTTCCGTGTCGTTCTGGCCGAGGCAGGACGCCAAGCCGCATCCCAAGAGTAGGATCAGCGCCAGCATGGCACAGGGTCCTGGGCAGCGCGCTGGCACCATGGTCAGATCGCTGATCCGGTGCGCAACTGATGGCAGCCCCTCGGAGGTTTATATTCGATTACCTGATCCAGACTTCCACCCTTTCTCGTTCCACTCTGGCTTTTCCTCTCCCAGTGTTTTCCGCTTACTCTCTCAAACACCCTCTGACACAGACGCACTCAGACTCCCTCCAGCTGAGACTCCCCTCCCTCCTGTACGCTTTGGTTGATTTGGGGAGAGTATTCAGACAACTGTTGTTTTAAATCCTGGCGATATGAAAGAAAAACAACGACGATGAAACATCAACTGACAATGAAATAAATGTTAGAAACACATTAGTCACTGAACTTTGGAGTATTCTCTGCGCGTAAAACGGCTACCGTGCGTAAAACGAAGCCGAACGCCAGGATCTGCACTAAACCCGCTGCTGAAATGACTCCGCTTGTGCTTTATCTGCTTTATCACTGAATAACCACCTTTACTTCATCTGTCTGTCGCAGTACTTTGCACCATTTCTTTGTTTAAATACTAAAATATCCTTCTATGCGCATACTTTCTAATTACTCTTTTGATTGCTTACCATCCTACTACTTTGCTATTTATTTCAATTAAAATAAGAGAAAAATATTTCCGCCGTACCTGAGCAGTCCATCCCACTGTTACATGCTCCCTCTCTCCTGCAGACTGTGAACTGAGCGCTCAGATCGCTGATGCAAAGAAAGCAAAAGTCTCTGGGCTCCGTTTGGAGGGACAACTCACGCCCATTCTTTGTGTGGAGCCACCGCAACAAGTCTCCCCGGAAGTATCCGGCAATTAAGAGCACATTCGTGGATTAATGGCTATGTTTACATATTAATCAGTTCAGTGGTGTGAGCTCGGGGGCCCCTGAGGACCGCAAAGATCACTTCCCCCCAATGTCTCTCATTTATATGCTGCGGGTTTCTCATGTCTCGGCCGGATTAATCTGACTTGAAAGGGTCTGCAGCCGATAACCTTGCTCTTGCATGGCACATTCGGCATGCATGTGTATGTTACTAATTTCATCAGACTTTAAGCGTGCGTTTTTAGGCCAATAAAGATGCGCGTGCGCCACCCAGTGGCGCTATTTGATCGTGCACTTTGCACACCTGCATTTTTGCATTGTGAAACAAGGTGATTAAATGTAATATAATATATAACAGCTCTTATATGAATGAAATGTAATGTTATAAAGCTCTGCCACACTTTATTGATATCCAAATTTACATTATATACACCATACACCTTCAGACCCAAAGGTCCTGTATGCACAAGGGCTTCCTATCAACTATAACCCTGAAGCGCCGGTGAGTGGACTAGGGACAGGCTGGTAATGATCTGTTATTGTCCTATAATAAAGGCTATGTTAACAAACTTTAATTTGCTTCATAATCACACTTTAAGATGGAGCTAAACATAGACTCATCGATAATGATCAAGTAAATAGTGAAGGAAATGGCAGAATGTCTTTGAACATAATTCACCTCGTCCTGATATTTAAATATTAAATACTTCCTGAAGAGAGTAGGAAAGGACATGACTGAAAGTCAAATACATTAGGCCACTTTTTAAAGGCTTGGGAAAAAATTGGTGTTAACATTTTCCCATCTGTTCTCATTGTTAATTTTTTTTTTTAAATGTCCACATGCACACACACACACACATGCTCACACACACAAATCCTATTTTGGACTTGGTCTCTGTCGTCCTCCTCCATTCTGTGCACCATAAACCTGTCAAAAGAGAGACACAAACCATGCAGGAAACATGACATCAGGTATGTTGAGTCACAACTGACCGCCAGGCTTTTAGGAGAACACACAGCCATGCACAACAGTAAATGTCAACTAACATGCAAGGAGAAGGATGTGTCCTAATGTGTCTGTACCATACCAGGGTCCACCTTTGTCCTAAAGGGTTTTCCCTTCCTCTAGGGAAGGTGAACAGCTAGTTGCTAGATTGACAACGATGTAATGCTTATTCTTCCTGACAGTAAGCAGAGCCTAAAAGCTTCCAGGAACTGGAGGACGGTCATGTGATGGGTCTATGAGCAAACCATGACAGTTGCATGGATTTTCCTCGTGAAAGGGGATACAAAAAGTGTCTATAAAGGACTTATTCATTTCTTTTTGCTATTACAATAATTTTATTTTGAAGGTCAGTTTTACATAAAGTGTAAATCTGGTTTTGTTATTTGTAATGCTAACAGATATTGATGAGTTATTTATTTGAGTTGGTCTGTGACATTCCTAACCTACCAGCCATTAATAGCCAGTGCATATCCTTTGCTGCTCGCCTTGACCATTTGGTTAATGTGCTTCTTTGAGCCCCTTGTCTGGTGTAAAACATAGTGGTAAAACTATGCCCAGCGGTGTTTTAAATTCGTGGCTTTTAAAAATGTAATTGTAAACTGCTGCGGTGGTTCCCTAAATTGAGGTCTAGGGCATTGACAGGACAGGTGTCCCTGGCATCCTGCCTGGGGTTCCATGAAAGTAACTACCCATTACACATTTCATTCAAGCTGGTTTTAAAACAACTTTTCGTCAACATTTCAATTTTAAGGATTCTTGGACGCATCTAGAACATCATATACAGCAGTAACCAACTGATACTGTACGGGCCAAATGTTAAACCGGAAGTTGTTTTGCTAAAGACCAAGCGTCACCATGGTAACGAAGACAACGCGGATGTTAGTAACATTTCAGTTCACGAGAGAAACGGAGTAAAGCAGAATTCATTGATTCTAAATAGTATAGAGAAGAAAACATTAAAGCCATCAAAAGAAGCAGGGATTCATTAAATAAGACGTAAGCAGTCGACAGGAAAAGGCGCAGAAGGAGAAATGTGGAGGATATAGAAGAAGTCTATGATCCTTTGAAGTGGAGTCCAGACTGAATAAATACAACAGAATTCGTGGAAACAATACAAAAAAAAAAAAAATGGAATAATGATTTATTTTTTAACCAATGCGGTAATCTCGATTACTGCATTAACTTTTTTAAATTTTATTCTAATATTAGCCAGACTTTTGCAAAGCGCTGTAAAGGAATTGGGATTCTACTGACTGTGACCCCTCACCTGGGAGGTTTGGGGATGAAACATGGCGTCAAGAGTTTTTTCGGTCATGCTGCGGTCTACACAAAAGTTTAAACGAGCTGGAAAACCACCCAAGAACTTTTTGGAAAGGTAATTTATCCCGATATGACCGCGATTCCCATTGGCAGCCAGCTCTCCGAGCCTGGCTCCAGTTGTTGAAGAAGCCTGGCAACTCGGTGCTTTATTGCCCTCTAAGTAAATGGATTTATGAAGTGTTCGCAGCGGTGCACAATAAAAAAATCAATACGGATGAAACCTCCGTGCGCTTTTTAAATTAATATGATTACTTTTACGCAGTAAGTGCTGCGGCGAAAAGACTTTTTTGTTACTAAAGTGTGGAACTTAAACTACAGTACAGTATTGAACAGAGAAATATATATATATATATGCAGTATATATACTGTATATATTCTTTGCCTAATTGACCTTAGCATTTATTTATAGTAAATCTGACATGTATGCAAATTCTGTGAGTGACCAAAGAACAAACACTGGAATTTTTTTCTTCCTATTTTTGAAGCTCCAAATGTCAAATGTCTTTTTACTGACATGTGGGATACAATGCTTTAACTCTAAGCCTTTGAGTTTTGTTTGTTTTTGAAGTTCTTTCAGTTTTGATGGATTATTTTGTCATAAAAAAGCCATTGTTATGAAGCCCTCTACAGATGTGTTGTAGCTTAAATGTAGCTTTATGATTTGATGCTGTCAGCCTGCTGCAGCCTAACTTAAGTGATTTGCGTTATGGATGGATTTGATTGGACAAAAACAGTGTCACTCCCTTGTTTTCATGGCGAATTGCCTTTCCTTTCAGACTGCCGTCTGAGATCCTGATAAAGATTCTGTCATACCTGGATGCCTCAACTCTTTTCACACTTAGTGTTGTCAGTAAACACTTCCACACACTCGCCAATGATAAGTGAGTATGAGTATTTTAACTAATGTTTTTGTCCTTATACACTTGTCACCAACATCAGATGTAAAAAAAAAATCGTTTTTCATTTTGATCCCTCACCTTTGTGTTTACTGATGCCCACTATACCAGTCTTCTTTGGAGAAACATATATCTGGCTGAGTTTGGCAAAGATGAGAAGAAGAGACTAAAGAGGGTCGATGACGTGCTGCTCAAGATGGCCAAAATGGAGCTGCAGAAGTGCGCTGACGGCCACTGGAAGCTGCTGTTCTTCAAGACGTTGGCAGCGTGTGACATGAACAAGTGGAAAAGACGCCTCAGAGTCATAAGTCAACACACGGGCCTGCCAAGTCAAACAGAGCAGGTTCTCAGGTAAGAGGTAGAGCGATGCACACACCACTTCTGCATACCTCTCAATTGAAGTACCTGAGGTATTTGAAGGAGCACCTGCTTGACTTTAATCATCAAATTATTTTTTTTTCCAACATCTGAGCCACTACAGTTAAAAAGCAAACCTCGTTAATTCTCTCAAATGACTAAACAGTTCAATCTCTGTGGGTATAAATTGCCTTCTCTTCCATATGTTTGGCTGCTTTATTGTTGAAACCAGCTTTTCAGGGTGTCATGGAAACTATTTGTGGTTAGCTAACAGTGGAACTTTGCAAAGCCTTTACTGTCAAAACAGTTTGAGGGTAGGAGACTAGAGGACAGCTGGATGCACAGGCAAACAAAACACAGACACAACAAAGTTTTTTTTTTATATTGCACTTAATGACACGTTCTTATTAAAGGTGAGGAAGGAGGTCTCTGTCTAAATGTGATGTCGACTCAGGGAGATGCCAGCATGCAGGGAAAAGCTCCCTCGCCGCCTCAACCGCAGAAACTGATGCTGTGTTTTTATAACCTCTGATTACAGGCAGCGCAGCTCTCAATTTTGAGTTCTATGGCAGTTGTGGCGGTGCAGAGTTGAAGTAGAAATAATTGTATTCCTTGCAGAGGCTGTCTGAGTTGTTGAAATAAATTACTCGGGCCCTAACCCCTAATCCACAACACACATGTTGATATAAGCACACGTTCTCCTTCCTTTCACCTCCCACCAACCCAGACAAATCCCAGTGGGGAGTATGTCCGTTAGGAACATTGAGGACTACGCAATTTACCCCGGTAATAATCATTTCAGGAGACATTGCGCATGCAGACATGCACTGTAAAATCCCCAGGGTCGTCGTCTCCTCCTCCTGGGTTGCTCCAGTTTTAGCTGAATTCCATCACTTAATTGATATTGGACGGCGTCTCAGTGAGACACAGGCTGATCACAGCAGGGGCAGCTTTGCATCACAGTTTGGACAGAATTGGATCAAAAGCTTTATCTCAGCAGCTGCATTTTCATTTGACTAATTTTGCCTGCATCGATCTAAATAACCATAACTGGCGTTAAAACCCATGCACCACATGATTTAATGTCATTAAAGATGTGAGGTATTTTATTCTCTAATACCAGTATTAGATGTTTTTGTATGATCTCAAGTTCAAGTATCTGCAGTTGGCGAAGGGAATAGGAATAATCTTTTTTAAGCCTTGTTTGTTCCATTACTTAACTTCTCACAGGGCATTGTATATTGACAATAACAGTTTACAGCATGTTTTAACTGTCCTCTCAGAAACCTGAATGTCACCTGGGAGCTGACAGTATCAGATAAGTCAGGCCGTGAAGACACACTGGAGCTGAGGCTGTGCCAGTTCTGCGAGACATCTGTGTATCTGTGCTTTGAGGCTGGAGGCTGTTCGCTCAGCTACCAGCAGATTTCCACTCTTCAACTCCATGGTGTCAGGAGGATCGCCCTCAGCTGCCCTGGCCTAAAGAAGTAAGAGAGGAGGTGTCGCTCTTCATTCACCCTCTCCATGTCTGCCTCTGCTTCCTCTTGTTGCTCAGTGAAATAATATCCTCTGCTTGTTCTGTCAGCCCTGGCTGGAGGTCCCTGATGGCCAAGTTCAACATGCAGACTTTAAGTAAAAACGCGCAGCTTATTGGTCAGGACAAACTCATTCAACTGAAGCTACTGCAGCCTGGAATCATTGTCTGTACCTGGAAGGTAAATAGTTGTAAAGTTGCCATTGCATTTTTTTAATACAACATTCAGGGCTGTCAATATTAACATCTGAATCATGTAAATGCATTTATAAAATGTGCACTGGATTTTCTTTTACTCCAATACACAGTCAATATATGTGTTTTTATTGGCACATTTGTCGCAGTAATCACAAGAATCTCCCAAAATGTATCTGAATTTAAATTTTCACTTTTGCATGATTTTTGAGACATTCTTCCATATTAATAATTCCATCATATTTCTGTTCCAACAACATCCACAAAATGTTTTTGTCATAGTTAGGATTGTTGATTTATCTAGTTTAATAAACCGTATTAATTAATCCACAGCTACTGCATATTCTTTTTACATTATTTAAATGTTTGACAGTCCTACTTACATTTCATTTTACCAAAAAGAAAAAAGAAATCAAACTTGCTCACTTCTTTTAACCTCAGCTTTAGTAGACCTGTGAAAGCTCTGATTCTCTCGGCAGGGCCAGCATTCCATCGCCTTCATCATGCTAACCCTTCACTACTACAGGCTAGTGGAAAGGAGCATTCAAGGATCACCTATTAGGTAGGCTTGGCTTAAGCTTTAGATCATAACATTGCATAGCATGCAGTGAATTCTCATCTCTTGGTTAAAAATGTGAAGTGATAACAGGGGGGATTTATTTGATTCCACTGCTGTGACCCATCTTTATCAACTGCTGATGGAGATTTGAAGCTTTGGTACCTGAATTAATCAGCGCTTAAGACACCCTGACCTGTACCACGTTTCATGATTGTCAAAAAAGTCAGCAAAAAGTTTATTAAATTAAATAATCAGAAACAAAAGAGAAGATACCACCAAAATGTTGATAGAAATACTTGTTTAAATACTTAAAATCCAAACATGTCACTGACCTTAACTGGACTGTGGCCTTTTTATTATAAGAATTCTAATGAAAACAAATACATTTTTATCAGTGACATTTAGCACTTGGTTTGCTTTTCTGATTAGAGCATCAGCAGTGCAAGTCATTCTTAACAATGTTTCTCTCCTGAGCTTCAAAATCTTACAATATGTGGACATGGCCCCCTCTTCTGGTGTCTTGTGAAAGCACAGTACACTGGGTGCACCCTGTATTTGAGTCTCCATGGGAGTTTGGATTACTCCTTCATGCCCAACTGGGCTGGTGCGGCCCAGGAGGAGTCCGCTGGGCACCTGAATGACATGCTAGAGAGATTCTGTGTCTCAGAAGGTTTCCACCTGCTCTGCAGGAAATCCCCCACTACTGTGTGAGTGGGGGGAGGAAAGCTTGATTTACTGAGGACAGGGGGCTCCCCTGCTGAAGTGCTGCTCCTTGGACCCAGATCCTTATTATTATTATTATTATTATTTACTGTATATAGTCATCTGTCTATAAAAGCACACAATGGGGTTTTTTCTCTATGATTCTTTGGAAAATCTATTTGGATTAGTTCATTTTGTACATTTGCCTTCCAGCCCCTTTGTGGAGTCGATAGACAGACCACCTTTTGATGACGTGGACCCCCAATATGGTCTCCATGGTTACCAGCTACACATTGTTCTCCACAACACCATGGACACACTCATGTCTGAAAGATTTACCCAGCTCTCCTGCCACAGAAGTAATCTATTTATATACATCCTCATACAGTATTTGCACTTCAGCATATAATAAGTAATGTTTTTACCCTAATACTACCTCGAAGCAGTAGCTGAACCAAGTGACAGACGTATGAAGTTTTAATGTTTGTTTGTTTGTTTGTTTCCTTCTGTGCAGCTGAGATCCGTGAAGGCCTGATTAGGCTAACTGCCATTAGCAAGACAAACCTGTCTCTGCACACCCGTCTGACAGGAAACATCAACCTGCCCTGGAGGTGTGAGGTCCTGAAAGCTGCAGTGGAGGTACTAACTGTACTGACAGCCAGTCACACTGTTCCACTCGATTATAGGAGGTGGAGAAATGTGTGCATTGCTAACAAGTGCTATGTAGTGTTTAAAAGAAATTAAATGCTGTGCTATTTAAAGTGACATAATTACAGAGCTTCTGAAGAAGCCATTAATAGTGAACGCTGCGGCGGTTTTCACTGAGAGTAACAAACAGACCTGCTATAAAATTCTCAAGTGAGATCTCTGAACTAACTCTGATTTCATTCCACCAGAATTGTTGCATCATGAGTCTGACTCTGCTGGATGAGTTCAGGAAACCCTTTTGGTGCATTTCCTCTCCCGTCTTCTTGAAGCCAGAAAACGTGTCTGCCTCCTATGACTACGACGGCGACCACTTTCAGATCCACTACAGTCACCCCGACGGTCTGGTGAAGATAGGTCTGGTCTGGCTAATGGAACAGAAGCAGTTTGTGGTCATAAGTTTAAAAATCTACGTGAGTGTTTCCAAGGTCAATGAGCATTTCCACAGAGAGTACTGAACCCCACGGTGCTCTGGGAAAATTTCAGTTGTCGTTGTTTTTAGCCACTCAGGATTGTTTTGGACGGTGTGGAACTATTGTGTTCTCTCACCGAAGAGTGGCCCAGACCTGAGTGTTCAGCTGCTGATATTGAATCAGGTTTTACTTCATAAAACACTCATTGTACGTCACACGCCTCAATTTTCTTTTTACCTTGTGTTCTTTGTCAAAATCCAGTCCTCAAATGTATTTTTTATTGTTCATTTCTATTTATGTAGAGCAACCGGTACGTAGAAAAGTGCTGAGTTTAAAAACCATTCACTGTTTGACCTCATCACTGCATTTTTTGAAATGCTGAATATGTTTGCATTGTTAAATCAAATGAAAAATATAAAAAAGTTATTGAAAAATAACAGAACTGAGTCCAGTAATTAAGTTGTTGTTCCAGATAATTTTCTTCTAGGTATTTTACAAAAACACAGTCTCTCAGGTGATCAGATATACGTTTTAACCAAATAAATCACGTCTACTTAACTGTAACTTTAAAATAAAATAATTGCACATTTTAATTTACATAATCTCTTGATTATTCCTGTACGGACACGTTATGCTAATTGACAACGTGTAGCGTTTACACATGCTAATTCTAATGCTTAGGCCCTCGGCAAGTCTGGCTTTAGTGATATAGAATAATGGGAGCGAAACAGATGCCAGATGCCTGCTGATGGACCCGCTCTGCTGATGGCAATAAAATAAAGCAGGCCTCCAGATAATAGGATAATAGGCTTCCTTCCAGTTTCTCATTAAGGGTCACCTGACATTGACAACATACTTATTTTTCCAACATAGAAAAGCAAATTGGCATTTGAGCCAAACATTCTATGTTGAATAGAACAATACTGTGTCTGATGAATTGAACAGAGAGAAAAGGAGTGATGAGAGCGGTGGTGGGACACGTTCAGAATTCTAAAGACTCTCATTCACAGACAACGGGTACATTGAATAAGCAGTGTGCACCACCTATTGCCTCTGGGTAACAAAAGGTTGCACGTGTATTACTGCAGTATTCCACGGCTGTGACCTTCACGTTGTTGTTTCCTGTCACGTCAACTGATTCTAACGGCCAATCCCTCATTTCCTTTTTCTGGAAAACCCAGGAGCCAAGGCTACTGCTGAATAGCATTGAGCTTCTAGGAACAGTAAGCCACTTAATTAGCCATTTGTCTCATCAAAAACTAAAAAAAAGAACCGAGAAAAATCGTCATGCTTCGTTAAATCATTTTAAATTTACTGTCGTTACCCAGTAATATGAAATTATTTAATGTACATAGTTGACCAGTAGATGGCTCTCTTTAGTTAACAATAAAAAACACAACGCCACAGATGGTTTGGTTTTATTCTCATTATTCAATTTGCCCAGAGTCACTTGCAGAGAAATGTACAAATAAGTCCATAAGCTCCTTTTCCACAGTTTTCTGCATTCAGTTGACTGTATTCAGGAACACACTGCTCTGCTTAATTACTATTTTCTCACTTCCTGTCATCTCCGAGTGGCTACGGGCCTCATAATGAATCACAGTTTTTGAGAGGTTTTCACAGCAAATAGTGATTTTAAAAAGGGCATGGTTGAATTTAGTGACATGTATGCTCATTAAACTCATATTTCTTTCTTACTTTCCCCGCCGGCTAATCTTGGAAGAAAATTGCTTTCCTTTTTAGCCTTTATTCCCTCCCATGTGTATGACCAGCTGCGTCCACAAACTACAGAGGCCTTAGGAGCTAACGACAGTGTCCAGTCCCTTTACCAAGGTAATGGTATCACGTATTTAGGTCTTACATAATCTACTATAATCTGCCTTTTGTAAAGTTACAACCCTGTTAAATAAAATGTCTGCCTTTAGAGAGTTGTCTTAAATTAGAAGGAATTCACAAGCAATAATCAGTCCAAGCAGGTTTTAACATCCAACATTACACTTCTGGGATGATTCAATGTTTTGGCATGAAGGTTAAACTAGAGAAATGAGTCAAATGATAATGTCGCAAAACATCAATTTCAAGCATATTTGACTGTAATCTATACAATTGTCCCTTCAAAGATTTTAGTTGCTATACTGTAAAACTAAGCCAAACAGATGGTAACGTAGGCATTTATACTGCCAAGTCTGAACTCTGCAGCCATTGACCAGCAGTCACACCTTCTCTGTTTTATTCATCCTTCTTTATGTCTTGTGCTCTTTTGATCACTCCAGGGCAGAGTGGGGGAGGCTTCAAGGGATGACAGTGTTGTAAAAGGGTTCACGATGCCTGGTAAGATCCTGGGTTTATTCTCCCCTGTATAAATGGTGCCTCATGACCAAACGGGTTTGAAGAAATCCATTTATATCAAAGCTGCTGTCTGTCCTCTGGCTTCAAGAGCTCAATGTGCAGCATAAGAGGAAAAAGTACCTTCTCTGGTGCACGCTCTGCTCTGAGGGTTGCATCAGGCTGCGGTAATGTTATACCACGAATGGAATTCACCGAAACCCCCACAGTTCATGTTGTAAGAAAAACAATTAGACTTTTAATATCACGTTTCCCTAAACAAAAACATTAGCATCATTCATTAGCTCCAATAGTACATGTTTACTCTTCTTTACATGTTGATATGTGATTTCTTTATTATTATATTATTATTTGGCTTAAACAAGCCAAAAAAGTATAAATTCAATTTTATATAAAACAATGATTTTGTTTTATGTGAGAAACACACACAATCATAACAAAATGCTATTTTTTAAATTATTATTAGTAAAAAAAAACTTTTTATTGTAGTGAAATAAATCAAAACATTTAAGTCAACGTTTCTGATTCTCTACATCACTCTTGACAGTTTTTACCTTCAAGCCCACTGGGCTGTCACACACCTGGCACTCAGCCCTGAACATCATCTGCTGCCAGGGGTCTAATTAGCTATAATTTTGGATAACAGGACGGTGAATGTCCTTTGTGTCAAAAAATAAATTACTTGCCACACTTTCACTCCCTCACTATACTTTGGAGTTTCTGTGCCAGGGAGTGAGGAGGGTGCATGAGTCAGCGTATTATCCATTATACTGTAGAAGCACTTTCCACTCCTTCACATGGTTCAGTGGTTTGTATTACCCTCACAGTAACCATCACAGGAACATCCCTTAGCTGTGTGGTCTCACAGCAGATGTTTCTTTGGCAGGTGAAGTCCAAACTTTTACTGAAACCTTCTGCAGTCTACCTGGGTTCACACAGGGTTATGTGGTTGGTGTATCTCATTGACCAGTCAAACATTAAAGATATAGAACAATAGAACTTTGAAAATAGGTCTTTGAAAATGCAGCGTTGTCATTCTTCCCCTGCAGGGGGCGTAATAATGCAGTTTTAAAATCTTGTAATAGTGTAAGAAATTTTGGGTCAATTCAAATTAAAATGTTACATATTACTGTGTAATGTGAGGAAGAGTTTAGTGTAAGAAATTTTGGGTCAATTCAATTTAAAATGTTACATATATATACACTTTTTATTGCTATATTCTTTCCTTGCTTGAGTTTGCTGCTTGGCTCTGTTTTCTTGAAATAATACATGCATGGACAGTTTTAAGTTTCACAAAAATACCATTTACACAAATACAGTACAATATAATACTGTAATTATTGCATTTCCAAGGAAGTGGCACCTTTCAGTAAAACCAACTTGTTTTCTTCGCTCCTACAAGACATTTCAAATTCAGCCCCATTTCATGGGATGCATAAGTGAGACCGGATTCACAGAAAACAGGCCAGGCTTCGCAAAGACATAGTTCCTGGAACAATTGGTTTAGTACAAAGGTCTGTGCCTGAGGCTAACTCTATTGATCTGAGTCAGTATTAAGAGGGATAGGGATGGAGAGAGAGAGAGAGAGAGAGAGGAAGATGAACCCCTGAGAGAGAAACACAAAGATGCACAAAAGAGGCCTCAGTCACAGCGGATGAACACAAGTTCACAAAGGTTTTTCATGTTACAAATGCATTGCACTCGTGTGCATTGTCGGCATGGCGTGCTGCGGTGCTGACTCCGAAATGTCAGTGATGTATTTGGTCAATTACACCCAACCAGGCACAGTTTGTTTCCTGTATAAACACTGTTTACAAAGCTATGAATAATTGAAACCCCGGTGGTTACTTGTGTCTGTGTCATAGTCGTGTGCTGTTTAGACTTTTGACACTGGAGAGAATCTCTGGGGAACAACACTCGTCACTGGTGTCTGACTGGTTACAGCGACGGTGCCACGTTGTGCACTTCAGTGGCAGCTCACGGCCCTGACTGGAATGAAAACCTGTGACTTGATTGTGTGATTGTTTGGAGTGGTAAACCCAGGTCGCAAATGTTGATCTGGCACCACAGCTCTCACAACCGAGTGAATTAAAATGTGTAGTTACGTTACTCATGCTCGGTTTCTTTGTGTCCTATTTATCTTTGGTTTAAATTCTTTGTTTGTTTGTTTTTTGTTACAGCATTTGTTTTGTTGAAGTTCATTGTCTCTTTGTTTTGTTAAATGCTCCTCAGTATAAAAGTATAAAAGTTCTGCTCACTTTCTGTTCAGCCGACCAAAGAAAGTTCAATTTCATGAAGCTTTACTGCCTAATAATAATTTTTAATTCATTCTGAATCTCAGTTTTATTAGATTAATGAAATAGCTATTGATGAGAAATTGAATCTGACTGTGAGTATTTCCCCCTATTTTCCACAGAACCGTGTAACTTTTATGCACTGCAAAAATGAAAATTCTCACACTTATTTTTTTGTAAAAAATAATATAAGGTCATTTCAGTGGTGTGAACAGGCGGTTTATCCCTCTTGAATTTGAGGCTTGCCTCAGGAATATTTCAGGTCATTTAAATTGCTGAGTCAGAACGCTTGGTAATATTAAAATTTGAATTGCTTTTCAGAGCACATTCACGTAGATCTATTTTCCTTTTGTTCCTGCATCGGTCAAAATCTCCTGCAGTTATCTTGGTTTGTTTTTTTTTTTTTTTATTTATGTTTTTTGCAGCCAGGACTTTTTATGAATCCTATTAATTTGATGTGATTCCCTGCTGGTGTTAGTGACCCTCGTCTGAAGAGTTTTCTGGGCTCGTTGGCCACCAGCCATTGCTTTGTCAACGACTTTCTCACAGACTGAAAATTGGATGGTCAACATTTTCTCTTAGTCTTTGTCAATCCCTCAGATCCTACTGACGGGGCAACGGTTGAATTTAAACAGATATTGATGATTTTCAAAGGATATCCTCTTAGAACTTAGTGATTCAGGTATTCAATTCAAACTAAAACAATCTTTTTAACCATTGCTTAGTTGTCTCAGTTTGCTACAGTATATATGAGCTCCTGTTGAGTTTAACGTTCCAACTATTGAGCACCAGCGTGTTAGCTTTATGGATATGTTTAGATGCAGCTTGCAACAAATAGCAG